ACTGAGACAGATAAGAACAGACATAGATAGATTTGGTGATTGTGCTAGCACGAAGTCACAAGTCATCGTGACCGAGGGTTTGAGTGTGCTGGCCTTGTTCAGATTGTTGATTCTGTTAGATCTCTCCCAGAAACTGTAACTAAGATCCGCTCAGTCGCAGTATAAACCACAGATGCGCTCTGTCAGTGTTGAACAAATAAAAACGTGCCTGAGCCAGCGTCTGTAACAAGGATTGGTTAGTCGGCATAGTAAACCTGCTTCTTCTAAAGTGGCAAAACCAAAATTATAAATAAAAAATAAAATGTGTCACAGTGGACAAGGAGCTATTGAAATAGCCTCTAGTTTTGTTCATTATTTACATCATGAGTAGTCCTGTAGTATAGAACGCCTTAAGTGTGAGGTAACTAAACTAAAGTGGGTTATATCAGTCCCTCTCGACGCTAAATTTGTTTAAATGTTAAAAGATAGAATATATGGTTGTTATTGATAGCGGCAGCCAGTGTTTTGACCTACGTTCTGAAAAAACAGGCTCGGCAGACTCTCAAGATAGAGTATTACAGAGTAAGGGGCAGAGATATGTGGAGAAGAAAACGGTTATCTCCATACTTAAACAGGTTAAGCTTGCAGTGATCGGGTAAATATCCCGCCGGGAGTCGGTTCCATAGAGCAGCTGTTAATGAGAAGGGGCTGCTGGAGTGGAACTTCTCCCCAATGAAATACGGAGGGAATGTTTCGCTACAATGAGCGGGTTCTAGTCGTGCAGGTGAGAATTAGTGAAAGTAAGGAAATGTAATTTCTATGGAATTAGCGATAGAGCGGTGAGACGCTTGCCACATCACCTCCATGAGGGTCGGGTAGCAAGGTGGGGAATAGTTTATCACGCAGAAGGACGCGGATATGCTTATGGACTATATCGAGATTGGAAAGGCCTGAACTGGCTCTTGTAAAAGTAGAGAATAAGCATGCGGTGCCAGATACATACTACGTTGGCGCAGGGAATCGACCATTTATCATGCATGTTTTATATGTTTATCTCCATATATGAGAGCTATAAATAACATTGAGAAAAACATATTCTTCTTGTCCAGTGGTTTTATATTCCATTTTATAAAAATCTCTCAGAGTTAACCTGTAGAAAAAGACAATATTTATAAATGTAAAAAACAATAAGAATATTTGCCGACGCGTTTTGTCCAATGTGGACTTTCTCAAGGCAAAAAACGAAATGAATTTATTGAGACAAAGTAACTAATAATAACAAAAAACAAAATGTCCTTAGCAACTGGAAGAATTTAGAGAACACTATTTTCATACTGTTAACTGAAAATTACGTCACTTACTGTCACATGTAGAGATATTGTTATTATTGTTGTGTTGACGGATTCAACTATTTTCTTTTGATTTCACGATATTGTTGTGTACGTTTGTTTGGAAGAGTAGTAATCTGTTCTTAGGATCTTATGTATAAATTCCACTTGATGTTAGGTGTCGATTTAAGGCTTAACACTACGATGGCCAGCTTCTTTGACATCTTTATTTCCATTACGCCGTGAAGCAGCCATTTCTAATATATTCAATATTCAAGTCAGGAATAACAAGTCTGAAAAGAAATTCACAAATATTAGTATACCTCATACTGAAAGAAAGTGATTATATATATATATATATATATATATATATATATATATATATATATATATATATATATATATATATTATGTGTGTATAGATAGATAGATAAATAGATAGATAGGGACATAAACACAAGTATTATTGCTTGTAAAAAATTTTCAATGCATTTACCCTATAAATACCCTCGATGTCAAAAAACGACATCTCGGCCATTCAAGGTAAAACCTCAAAATCAGCTATTCCACTGAATATTTTTTTTAAAAATTAAGTCTGTTAAGCATTTTGCTAAAATTCAATAATTGTCCATAAGCCTCAGCATCGAACCAAAACTACTTATTCCATAGGAATTTGTTGAAAATTTGAAGGTGTCGAAAACGACACCTCCGCCATCTAGTGTTAATATTCTCTGAAGGATATATATATATATATATATATATATATATATATATATATATATATATATATATATATATATATATATATATAATATCTATGTCAATCTGTTCATTAACTATTTATCTATTGATTTATTTATCTATCTCAGTCTGTTCTTCTCTATCTATCTATCTATCTATCTATCTATCTATCTATCTTAGACTGTTAATATTTATCTCAATCTGTTCTTATCTATGTATTTCAGTCTATTCTTATCTATCTATCTATCTATCTATCTATCTATCTTAGACTGTTAATATTTATCTCAATCTGTTCTTATCTATGTATTTCAGTCTATTCTTCTCTATCTATCTATCTATCTATCTATCTATCTATATTAGACTGTTAATATTTATCTCAATCTGTTCTTATCTATGTATTTCAGTCTATTCTTCTCTCTATCTATCTATCTATCTATCTATCTATCTATCTATCTATCTATCTAGCTTAGACTGTTAATATTTATCTCAATCTGTTCTTATCTATGTATTTCAGTCTATTCTTCTATCTATCTATCTATCTATCTATCTATCTATCTATCTTAGACTGTTAATATTTATCTCAATCTGTTCTTATCTATGTATTTCAGTCTATTCTTCTCTATCTATCTATCTATCTATCTATCTATCTATCTATCTATCTTAGACTGTTAATATTTATCTCAATCTGTTCTTATCTATGTATTTCAGTCTATTCTTCTCTCTATCTATCTATCTATCTCTATCTATCTATCTTCTCTATCTATCTATCTTATCTATCTATTAATATTTATCTCAATCTGTTCTTATCTATGTATTTCAGTCTATTCTTATCTATCTGTCTATCTATCTATCTATCTATCTATATATCTTAGACTGTTAATATTTATCTCAATCTGTTCTTATCTAAGTATTTCAGTCTATTCTTCTCTATCTATCTATCTATCTATCTATCTATCTATCTATCTATCTTAGACTGGTAATATTTATCTCAATCTGTTCTTATCTATGTATTTCAGTCTATTCTATCTATCTATCTATCTATCTATCTATCTATCTATCTATCTATCTATCTTAGACTGTTAATATTTATCCCAATCTGTTCTATATCTATGTATTTCTATCTATTCTTCTCTTTATCTCATCTATCTATCTATCTATCTATCTATCTATCTCTATCTATCTATCTATCTTAGACTGTTAATATTTATCTCAATCTGTTCTTATCTATGTATTTCAGTCTATTCTTCTCTATCTATCTATCTATCTATCTATCTATCTATCTATCTATATATCTATCTATCTATCTTAGACTTTCAGTTATTATTTATCTCAATCTGTTCTTATCTATGTATTTTATCTCAGTCTATTCTTCTCTATGTATTTTATCTATCTATCTATCTATCTATCTATCTATCTATCTATCTATCTTAGACTGTTAATATTTATCTCAATCTGTTCTTATCTATGTATTTCAGTCTATTCTTCTCTATCTATCTATCTATCTATCTATCTATCTATCTATCTATCTTAGACTGTTAATATTTATCTCAATCTGTTCTTATTCTTCTATGTATTTCTATCTCTATTCTTCTCTATCTCAATCTGTCTATCTATCTATCTATCTATCTATCTATCTATCTATCTATCTTCTATCTTAGACTGTTAATATTTATCTCAATCTGTTCTTATCTATGTATTTCAGTCTATTCTTCTCTATCTATCTATCTATCTATCTATCTATCTATCTATCTATCTATCTATCTTAGAGTGTTAATATTTATCTCAATCTGTTTCTTATCTATGTATTTCAGTCTATTCTTCTCTATCTATCTATCTATCTATCTATCTATCTATCTATCTATCTATCTTAGACTGTTAATATTTATCTCAATCTGTTCTTATCTATGTATTTCAGTCTATTCTTCTCTATCTATCTATCTATCTATCTATCTATCTATCTATCTATCTTAGAATGTTAATATTTATCTCTTCAATCTGTTCTTATCTATGTATTTCAGTCTATTCTTCTCTTTCTATCTATCTATCTATCTATCTATCTATCTATCTATCTATCTATCTTGGACTGTTAATATTTATCTCAATCTGTTCTTATCTATGTATTTCAGTCTATTCTTCTCTCTCTATCTATCTATCTATCTATCTATCTATCTATCTATCTATCTATCTTAGACTGTTAATCTGTTTTATCTCAATCTATTCTTATCTATCTATCATATCTATTTCTATCTATCTCTATTCTCTATCTATCTATCTATCTATCTATCTATCTTCTATCTATCTATCTTAATATTTTATCTCAATCTCTTCTTATCTATGTATTTCAGTCTATTCTTCTCTATCTATCTATCTATCTATCTATCTATCTATCTATCTTAGACTGTTAATATTTATCTCAATCTGTTCTTATCTATGTATTTCAGTCTATTTTTCTCTATCTATCTATCTATCTATCTATCTATCTATCTATCTATCTTAGACTGTTAATATTTATCTCAATCTGTTCTTATCTATCTATTTCTATCTTCTCTATCTATTTCAGTCTATCTTTATCTTCTATCTATCTATCTATCTTATCTATCTGTCTATCTATCTATCTATCTCTTGGATCTATCTAATATTTATCTCAATCTGTTCTCAATCTGTCTATGTGTTTCAGTCTATTCTTCTCTATCTATCTATCTATCTATCTATCTATCTATCTTCTAGACTGTTAATATTTATCTCAATCTGTTCTTATCTATGTATTTCAGTCTATTCTTCTCTATCTATCTATCTATCTATCTATCTATCTATCTATCTATCTGACGTATTTCAGTCTTATTTATCTCAATCTGTTCTTCTTGATCTTATGTATTTCAATCTATTCTTATCTATATATATCTTCTCTATCTATCTATCTATCTATCTATCTATCTATCTATCTATCTTAGACTGTTAATATTTATCTCAATCTGTTCTTATCTATGTATTTCAGTCTATTCTTCTCTATCTATCTATCTATCTATCTATCTATCTATCTATCTATCTTAGACTGTTAATATTTATCTCAATCTGTTCTTATCTATGTATTTCAGTCTATTCTTCTCTATCTATCTATCTATCTATCTATCTATCTATCTATCTATCTTAGACTGTTAATATTTATCTCAATCTGTTCTTATCTATGTATTTCAGTCTATTCTTCTCTATCTATCTATCTATCTATCTATCTATCTATCTATCTATCTATCTTTATCTCAATCTGTTTCTTATCTATGTATTTCATCTATTTTCTCTATCTCAATCTGTTCTTCTATCTATCTATTTCTAGTCTATTATTTCTTCTTCTATCTATCTATCTATCTATCTATCTATCTATCTATCTTAGACTGTTAATATTTATCTCAATCTGTTCTTATCTATGTATTTCAGTCTATTCTTCTCTATCTATCTATCTATCTATCTATCTATCTATCTATCTATCTTAGACTGTTAATATTTATCTCAATCTGTTCTTATCTATGTATTTCAGTCTATTCTTCTCTATCTATCTATCTATCTATCTATCTATCTATCTATCTATCTATCTATCTATCTATCTATCTTAGACTGTTAATATTTATCTCAATCTGTTCTTATCTATGTATTTCAGTCTATTCTTCTCTATCTATCTATCTATCTATCTATCTATCTATCTATCTATCTATCTTCTTTCTCTAGACTGTTAATATTTATCTCAATCTGTTCTTATCTATGTATTTCAGTCTATTCTTCTCTATCTATCTATCTATCTATCTATCTATCTATCTATCTTAGACTGTTAATATTTATTTCAATCTGTTCTTATCTATGTATTTCAGTCTATTCTTCTCTATCTATCTATCTATCTATCTATCTATCTATCTTAGACTGTTAATATTTATCTCAATCTGTTTCTTATCTATGTATTTCAGTCTATTCTTCTCTATCTATCTATCTATCTATCTATCTATCTATCTATCTATCTATCTATCTTGGACTGTTAATATTTATCTCAATCTGTTCTTATCTATGTATTTCAGTCTATTCTTCTCTATCTATCTATCTATCTTCTATCTATCTATCTATCTATCTATCTATCTATCTTAGACTGTTTTTCAATATTTATCTCAATCTGTTCTTATCTATGTATTTCAGTCTATTCTCTATCTATCTATCTATCTATCTATCTATCTATCTATCTTCTTAGACTGTTAATATTTATCTCAATCTGTTTCTTATCTATGTATTTCAGTCTATTCTTCTCTCTCTATCTATCTATCTATCTATCTATCTATCTATCTTAGACTGTTAATATTTATCTCAATCTGTTCTTATCTATGTATTTCAGTCTATTCTTCTCTCTATCTATCTATCTATCTCTATCTATCTCTATCTATCTATCTATCTTAGACTGTTAATATTTATCTCAATCTCTTCTTATCTATGTATTTCATCAATCTATTCTTCTATCTATCTATCTATCTATCTATCTATCTATCTATCTTAGACTGTTAATATTTATCTCAATCTGTTCTTATCTATGTATTTCATTCTATTCTTCTCTATCTATCTATCTATCTATCTATCTATCTATCTATCTTAGACTGTTAATATTTATCTCAATCTGTTCTTATCTATGTATTTCAGTCTGTTATCTATTCTCTATCTATCTATCTATCTATCTATCTATATCTATCTATCTATCTATCTATCTTAGACTGTTAATATTTATCTCAATCTGTTCTTATCTATGTATTTCAGTCTATTCTTCTCTATCTATCTATCTATCTATCTATCTATCTATCTATATATATCTTTAGACTGTTAATATTTATCTCAATCTGTTCTTATCTATCTATTTCAGTCTATTCTTCTCTATCTATCTATCTATCTATCTATCTATCTATCTATCTATCTTAGACTGTTAATATTTATCTCAATCTGTTCTTATCTATGTATTTCAGTCTATTCTTCTATCTATCTATCTATCTATCTATCTATCTATCTATCTATCTATCTTAGACTATTAATATTTATCCCAATCTGTTCTTATCTATGTATTTCATCTATTCTTCTCCTATCTATCTATCTATCTATCTATCTATCTATCTATCTATCTTCATCTCAATCTGTTCTTATTATGTATTTCAGTCTATTCTTCTCTCTATCTATCTATCTATCTATCTATCTATCTATCTATCTTAGACTGTAATATTTATCTCCAATCTCTTCTTATCTATGTATTTCATTTATTCTTCTCAATCTGTTCTATCTATCTATCTATCTATCTATCTATCTATTTAGACTTCTCAATCTGTTCTTATCTATGTATTTATCTATTCTTCTCTATCTATCTATCTATCTATCTATCTATCTATCTATCTCTCAATCTGTTTGTTATCTATGTATTTCAGTCTGTTCTATTCTATCT